TCACTTTGCCAAGGTATGCACTGCCCTGGCGCCACTCTCATCAAATTTTCAGAAGCCATATGGATATCCAACAAAGAGAAATGTAGAAACCCACGTAGTTGACAATTTCTTGAGAGACAACCCTCTGCCATTTGGAAAGGAAGGCATTGAAGCAGCTCTTGCTGCTCTTTTAGTAGACACCACTTCCAATCACAACTCGGTGTTAGACTCAAGAGCATCCCGTTATTTTGCCAATAACTCCATGATGTTCTCCTCTCTAGATCAACATTAGGCCACATAAACTTCGGCAGCTTAACTCAGATAAGCAAGCAAGCAGTGAGCAACTTAGAATTACCATTGTTAACCAAAACTTGCGAGATCTGTCAATTAGGGAAGAAGCACAATTTTTTTTGGAACAAGCCAAACACTGCGCATCCAGAACTTTGGAAGTAGTCCATTCTGATATGTGCGAACCACTTTCCATATCCTTGCTCGGGGGTGCCAAGTATTTTCTGACTTATACGGATGATCTCACCCGTAAAACATGGATTTACTTTCTGAAACACAAAAAACAAATCTTTGAGAAGTTTTGCATCTTTAAGAATCACGTAGAGGATCAAACAAGATGTCGTATATTCACCCTCTGATCTGACAATGGTGGCGAGTATAAGTCAATAGAATTCTCTGAATTTTGCGACTTGCATGGTATCAGCAGACAGTTTTCCACATCCCGTACCCCTCAACAGAACGGGGTATCGAAGCGCAAGAACAGAACGATACTTGATATGGTAAGAAGTATGTTGTTCGGCAGAAAATGCCCACCCTCTTTCAGGCCAAGGCGACGAAAACAGCCGTCTACCTGCTCAACAGGTTGCCGACAAAGGATAACTTGGGAGTATCTCCGGATGAAAAATTCTTTCAGGTACGTCCAAAACTCAACCATCTCCAAACCTTCGGGTGTCTAGCTTACATACATTTGGACAGAACACAACAGAATAAACTTGAATCCAATGCAACTCCAACCATATTTCTTGGGTACGATGACGCGGCAAAAGCCTATCGCGTGTTCAACCCGCATTCAAACAAAATTATCGTGAGCAGGGACGTAACATTTGACAAAACTTGACACTTCAACGGACCACTTCCAAATCATGGCTACCAATACAAGGACCAATCTGCATGTACATGGTCACCCATGCATGAGATCCTACATCCATCACCGCCACAAGATTCTATCACATACAACAGATGGTGTTGGTACATCCTCGCCACCGTTAGACTCTAAAGCTGACACCGAGGAAGCAACACCCACAACGACTATTGTAGTCGCCAACTCAGCATCATCCAGTCCCAATTCAAAACTCACTCTTGATATGGCGCCAAGCCGCCCATCTCCAATCAATCTCATTCCACAAACCACACCTTTGCTCGATGACTGATTCAACAGTATTGACTCCGACGATCTCGCGTCACAACATGACGAATCGAACCCAGAGGATAAGGAAAGAACTAAGAAAAGACTGCCATCTTCCTTTTCACCAGCCACCGCACCTCCAATACATGCGAGGCGCAGTACTAATCCACCATCCTGGTGGCAAGACTATTTTGTGGGGATTGCTTCCTTTGCAGCCAAACTAAAATCCTTTGAGGAAGCGGCCACTGATCCTGACTGGATTGCTACAATGGAGGATGAAATGAAGTCGATACATAAAAATTAGATTTGGACGCTGGGTTCTTCTTTCCCCAGGCAAGTCAGTAATATCAACAAAATAGATTTTAAAATCCAAGCTCAAATCGGATGAGACCATCAACAAGCAAAAAGCCAGGCTCGTTGCTTGCGAATTCGAACGACAAAGAGTAGCCTTTGATAATGTTTTTGCACCAATCGTGAAATGGGGAGCAATCCAAACAGTAGTAGCATTGGCTGCTCAACAAGACTGGAACTTGGTGCACATGGATGTTAAAACTGCCTTCTTTTATGGTGAATTGAAGGAAGAGGTTTACATCTCGCAACTAGAAGGATTCACTCTATCCGGAAAAAAAAAGTGTGTCGATTAAAGAAGACACCATACGGCTTGCAACAAGCGCCCCGCTCATGGTATGAGAAAATAGAAGTTGGTTACGAAGTCAAGAATTCACAAAAAGCGCCGCAGACCACAATCTGTACATTATTTGGGATGAGCCTAACAAAGTTCTCATCCTACTATTGTATGTCGACAACTTGCTATTTACAAGCAATCGCCCCCTATGGATCGAATGGTTTTGACAGCAGCTTGAGACAAGGTTCAAAATGTCATCACTCGGGGAAGAAGCTAGCATAATCTCCTTGGCATCTGAATTCCGCTCGGTTCCTTACGGAATTTTTACGTCACAAACCAAGTACATCAAACAATGTTAAAAGCTGTTTGGCCTAAGTGATAGCCAACTCGTAACCATGCCCATGGTAGAACGACCGAAGTTCACTCTTGACACTGGTGAAGAAGATGTAGATCCTGCCCTATACCGAAAGCACGTAGGAAAATTGATACAGCTCACCTACAGCCGGTACGACATCAGCTTAGTTGTAGGCATTTGTAACAGATATGCAGAAATTCCAACTCCCGCACATGCAACAATCAAAAGAATTTGGAGGTACCTCAACGGTACACGAGATTATGGCATTCTATTCGTGAGGGGAGAAAAATCAGTTCTCACAGGGCATGTTGATTCGAACTATGCAGGAGATACTGAAAATGGGCAGTCAACAACGGGCTTCATATTCCAATTAAGAAGCAGCCCAATTTCTTGGCACTCTAAACGACAGACAACGGTAGCACTCTCAAGTACCGAAGCAGAGTATAGATCACTTTCAGATGCTACACGAGAGTTAGTAAGGATCAACACCCTCTTGACAGATTTAAGAGTCAAACAGCATATCCCCACCACCATATTCTGCGACAACGAAAGTGCGATAAAGTTTGCCTACATCCCAGTGTTCCATCAATGGACAAAACACATCTCTACGCATTATCACTATTCGAGGGAGAAAATCGAAAGCAGAGAAATCCAAGTGTTATTCAAACCCTCATACGAACAGTTAGCCAACCTATTCACAAAACCATTGGGTAAAAATTTATTTGAGAAATTCAGCAGTAAGCTACACCTGGTGAGTACCAAACTCATAAGCAACTCATAGTTAAGAGCTTCAAAATCATCGAAACTACAGAACAAGTCACAGAGAAGCATGCTACAATCGAGAAAAAAACTTCTTTGCCTCTTATCTAGTTTGGAATGATTTGAACTCTACCCCACTAAAACCTCTCACCTCCCTCGCTCAATCTCTCCACGTAAGATAGACGCCAGGCTGATATCCGCACGAAACAGAATAAAATCGAGACGAACGATTCATCAAAGGCTCATCTCGATGCATCTCGCAAATACCCAACCTGCCTCTAGTCAAAGGTAGTACAACATCCGAAGAATCTCCCACAGAAGAACCATCATCAGCAGGTCCAAGAAAGATCCTTCGCTCCACAAAAAATTTCAGCACATGAACAAGATTCAAGAGAAATACTAAGAAGGTCCAGAAGATGAGAAAAGAGCGAACTAAACCATCCTCTCGAAGCTGATGAACTCTTCCCATTATTCTCCGTTCTAGTCAAATAACACAATAAAAAGATCAAGTTACAGTTCAGAGGTTGAGGGAGGGTGCTGACGTTATCAACAACTGAACTGCATCCACCGAACGATCATCATCACCCAAGTATTCATAGACTTCCTTAACAAGAACTCGGCGGTTACTGCCCTCTTTGTATTTAAACGATTGTATCAACACAAAACACAAGTAGAATGTAGAGCACATTAACAAGTCCAACAGCTTCTGCATCTTTGTAAGTCTTATGCCTTCAATCTTAGGTATGCAGAGTGTCTCGATCCAGAAGACCCCGCCAGGATCTCCCTAGCCGTCTAGATGATATCCATCGTGCTTTCCACCTAACCATAGCGTATTACGTGGCTCGGGTAGAGAGAACATGTTGAAGATTAACAAGTACTAGAGCTCACGCAGGAACCATAATTTGAAATCACACGTGGATAACTTTTCACTTTTCCAATGTCCACCATTTGTTCTCCAGCAACCACGAGATTGAAATGAGTAGGATTCCCTCCAACAGCAACGGGTATCCTCAAACATCTGACCGTAAAGCATAACAGCCACAAAATGATTTAACAGACTTTCTCAACAAAAGACAGCTACGAAACTGTAGAGAAAAGCTGCATTCTAGATTAAAAATACAGGCTACATCCTACATAAATACTTTAAAACAGATACTGATCACTTAAACCTAAATTACACAATACATTTTGACATCTAGTATTTAAGCAAGCCCTTGAATTAGGGCGGTATTGAGAATTGAAGTGCATGAATCACTGAAATGAAAGCCAAAAATCAAAGTGACTTACCCTCAGAAATTTGTAATTACAGCAGATTTGCTTTGTTTTGTTGGTGTGATTCAGATTGAAGAGATCATGCGAAGGTCGACGCTGCAGTGCGACAGGCCGTGGTGAGTCCAAAAGTGGCTGTGATGGCAAACTTGCAACCACAGCTATTTCCAGGCCAGCACTGAGTACATCCTCCAGCGAGGATATAGGACATTCATTTATGAGCATGAACGAAAGCTAACATGTAAGCATCAAGTTTATAAACGCAGCCAAGTCGCAGAGAATTGGTGACATGCCCACGCCCGACCCATCACCGTAAATTTAGAGATAACTTTCAAGTGCCGATTGAGAGTGATCTGCAGCTGTGACAGGGTTCTCTGGTCTGAGTCGATACTACATGGGGAAATAACAGTATACTCGGTTCTAGGTCCGGTGGCAAGATGAGTTGGTTCCCAAACAAGATCCGAGCCTAGCTCGGGTCACCCCCATTTCCCCTTTACAGGGCTGTATTATATCTTTTCGGGTAGCTTGTTCAGTCTCGGTCAGGCAGGGGTTTTTTGAACTCCATGGTCGTCTGAATCTGTATTGGTTACTCCCTGCAATGAAATAAAATTTCATTTGTGCCAAGAAATAAATTAAAATAAAATAAAATAAAAAATAATCTAAAGAATCCCACAACACCATAACTTCTAAGAGTTTAAATCAAAAAGAAGTGCGCTTCATTATGTAGTGGTGGCAATATGTCGGTGCAGGTTCAGGGTTCTGCTTCTGATGTGAATCCCCACGATGGACAGACTCCAGAGCAGGAAGTGCTGAGCCCCCGGACATAAGTGGAACTGGTTGAGAAGATTATACACGAAACTGACCATCAATAGCACTGTAAAAACGCGGAGAAGCCAGAAAAGCAGGCAGCCAGAAACAATGTCTCATTAAAAAGACATTCCATAGAAACCACAAATCAAGGAGGAGAAATTACTGCACTAATCGAGGTAAATTGCACTCCTGTGAACTTTGCTGTTCTCCTCCAAATGCTGCGTCGCTATGAGCCTCGACCACAGTTTCGCACCGAACTAAGCTCCAAACAGGGTTGCGCCAGACTTTCTCTCCGAAGGTACACTCTTGAGAGAATTCAGCGGCATTCGACGGGCAGAGTCGGACGCCCTCACTGATTCGAGTAGGCTGAAGTGGACAGCGTTTGACTGAGACGGTGCAACCGTATGAGCCACGTACCGCGTGGAGAAAGAGTGGGGGAGGCATCATGCGATCAAGTTCCTGGTGGTGAGCAAGCGACTGGAGCAGCGTCGGAGCCTGTCTTTAGTCTGTACACGAACGACATGATTATTTACATACACACACATGTATAAGTATTAGTATATATGTGTGTATATGTGTATACATGTGGGTGTACTCTATAATCCTTGTGTTCAAAAATAGTCACATTCTATATTTTCAATTGTCATAGAAGGGTTTCCGTATCCCACCATGATCCACCTCGGACGTCATGTACTTTTGAAAATTTAAGACTTCCATCACTTCAAAATATCACAAAAAAATTAATAATACTAAAATAAAAAATTAAGTGTTTTCAATAGCTAACAAAATGAATACCAACTAACTGTTAATGGTGAATGACCATTCACAAGAACCATAAGGTAGAGAACCCCATAACCAACAAGATTCCAATTCCAACTCCCATCCATATCACATATAACATTTGTCATTTTTAAAAACTAACATTCTATAGAAAGTGAAATGAATGCAATACAAATATGTGTGAAAATTCAACCCTTTCCCACCCAAAAACTCACCCATGTTCTTCCTTTTTCATTAAATTCGCATGTACAGTTGAATCATATAATTCAATATTATCAATGTTTCACTCACATGATCGGATCATGTATTTAAACATGAGAATGTGGGTCGAAAGTAGTTGCTCACCCGGTTATCTGAAGCAAAATGAACGAGTTTACCAGTGACTCTAAATATGGAGTTGGAAAGGAGGGCCTACGTGGTTATGAAGGGTTCTATCTCAATTCTTTTTTGTAACTTGTTTGTTTTTTGTAACCTCGATGCTTTGATGAACTGGCCAGGAATCTGAGGTTATGCCAAAATGTAGGTCAATTACCCCTCCTAGAAAATACCCTGGTTTTACTCAAATGAGTCATTTTGTGCGTACAGAATCACTCATTGTCCTCTCCCTCCAGGTCTTCCTCAAGGTCGTAACCCTACTTAATAGATCACTGAGGGTTTTGTTAAGTGTGAATCGCAGCTTTGTTTTGAGCCCTTACGAACACAGGTGAATTCTAGCAACCAAGAAGACGGTTCCAGATCTAACGATCAAACGCCCGCACACCAATTTGCCGAGGCCGTGGGTGCGCACCGTACTACCAGCAGTCATCTCAGCCTCAGTGTATTTTCTGTACGGAGATCTTCCGCAAGTACCTATATAATGTGTTATCCATATATTTTCTGTTTTATTAGAATTTTGGACGCCTGCACTTGGACGTGTCTAGGGAGTCAGCAGTCATTTCACCTGCGAGGAGCATCACAGCATCCGCCACCACTCTGACTACCGAGGGAAGCGACTGACACCCGAAATATCTTGCTATTTCCACAGGATGAGTTAGCAGATGCATACTGACATGTGGATATTGTCGTGCTCGGATCGCAGTTGAAAATGCACAATACTAAGGTGCACAAACATTGCAAGCACATGTCATATTGTAGTCGTTGCATTGCTGTTCACAGCGAGCTACCCAGCGCCCTTGAGACACGAAAAAGCTAGAGTAAGGGCAAAGATTTAAAGCTGGCTCTTATTTGTTGGGAACCATGGTGCGAGCAATTTTTCATGGATGCAGAGAGATCATGTGCAGAAGGTACGGGATTGCTCAAAACAATATCAGCCACAATGCTTGAAAGTCATCCCGACCTAATATTGTATCTTCGCCCTCTTGAGTATGTATCATGTCAGGTTACATGAAGATTCTAGCCTACTACTACGCACATGTTAGCGATTCGCATGGATAGATGCCTTTGTATACGAAAATACAACGGGGAATGTATTACTCAAATCGCAGCCTTCGTTTTGTTCTTCTGAGAATGGAGCAACACATAATTGCAGATATCAAGACAGAGAGGCTGTTGTAGAAGCTGCGCATTTGATCGTTTTAAGGAAAATTTCATGTTGACTTGAAACACCAAGCAGCAATGCAATTTGTCCAGCATGTACGTTGAAGGACCCTGTTGCCAAGAAAGGTGTCTCAAGCGTTTAGCCTTGCTTCCGAAATAAATTTGCCTCTTGATAAATTGGGCTGTTTTCAGCTTCTATCTTGAATTGCCTCCTATAATTTGGAAAGGATCTTACCAAGAGGTGATATTGAATGAGGTAAAGCTACGAATGCCTCATGTCGTGTTATTAGCATTGCAGATGCTAGCAGTAGACCTGGTTTTTGGTAGCCTACTCTTTTATCTTCAAGAACCTTGTTTCCCAATTAATTTGTTGATCTTCATGTTGCTTGGCTGTTTGAACATTTCAGAGATTAAACTACCTCTAATCATGATTTCGGAGTCTCTGAAGTTATGCAAACGTGAGGTTTTCACAAATTTCTGGTTGTGTGCAGGAGATGAGCATCTATTATGCAATAGATTTGTAGCACATTATCTTAAACGATGATAAGATTTGATTATGGGATGTGCGGCACAAGAAGAGTGCTCACCATGAGCAGTAACAAGGAATTAATAGTTAGACCGTTGCAGGAGAATGAAAGATACACAGCAATAAGCCACACGTGGGGAGACACACGCAATAGCATTGAGGGAATAGGGTGGGACGTTCCTTCTTGGATATCTTGTCTTACTTGCAAAGCCCTAGTAGAAGCTTACAACAGTGTTTGGATAGACAGCTTGTGTATCAAGCAATTTGATGAGGAAGATGTGAAAATGCAAATTAAAGAGATGCACAACATATATAGGAGTGCACAAGGTGTTGTTGTGGTCTTGGTTGGCAACTATTCTGCGCAGTTAAGTGCTCTACGACGCACTGCTCAGTTGCTCATAAACCTAGAGATGGTGGAAGAATGCACGCTATCATCCTCGGATTGCCTTTATGTGAAAATATTGGAGGAAATGAGAGATGCGGTAGTCATTGCAAGAGAAATGCCATGGTTCAGGCGTGTGTGGACATTGCAAGAGGCTATATTATCAGTGGAGCTCACGTTTGTTGGATTTAATGAGAACAGTGTCTTGCAAACTGACGTGACAACCATTGACGAACTTACCAAATTCACTCGCATATGGGATGAAATGAGCGATGCTTCGGACGCATTTTTTGATATTAACGATTATGAGGGAAATATATGGTTAGCGGGATCAAGACATCCATGTAGTCAGGATATTATTGACACCAACTCCATAGTTGTAGACGTTGGTAATATCATGCACAGTATCAAACCTTTAAACTTGCGATGGTATAAAGACCTGACAGGGAAGGATGCAAAAACCACCTTGGAACATACCACCGACACAGTGTTTCGGCAATTGGGTAGCAATAAGCGTGAATGCCAAAGACTACATGACCTAGTTTATGGTATATGTGCATTGTTCGATATCAGTCTGACTGTGGATTACAACAAAAAATTTGAAGATGTATTTTTGGAAGCATTACAGCAGCTTGTAAAACAAGGAGTTTTTGTCTTGCCAGAAAGGCCACAACCAATTCATGGATATACCTGGTTACCAAACTTGGAGCACATAGATTTAAGGGATGTATGGAGAACAGTGAGAGATTGGGATTTCTATCACAATGTCAAGAACGAGGGCACAAATATTTTTGCAAAAGGCAATTTGGTCCAGATGCGTCAACCTCATGTATTTCGATCAAGTATGAAGAGCGTTGCAGATGCCTTGAAGGCTATTGTGCCGTTCGTGCCAATTAAGAAGGACTTTGATGTCAGCTGCTTTGACCCTTCTGCACTAACTATCACATGTGTAGTGCTTTGGATGTACAAGAACCATGGACGCAATGACATGCAGGCAATTGATGTGGAATCCTTGATATACTTGATATTATGCGGTCATATGCAATTGAAGATCTTACAAGATCTACACCTCGTTGCAACAGATTTTGCACCTCATGGAATTCACAGCGCCAGGCAGATAAATTACATATTGGAGTGCTGTGACTTGGTGTGGAGTGTTGAGAGTGTGTACAGAAATGTACTGTATTTGCACTATTCTGATGCAATTTTGGTTCTCAAGAAAAAAATGGGGCTTGTGTTGTATAATGCTCCATCCCCAGTCCAAGCAAGCAATACTTACGGTGTATTCTATAAGCGTATGAAGTTCTCTAAAGTGCATGGGATAACTAGCAATGTCCTTGCACAAAACAGTGATGGCATTTGGGACAATCATGGACGAGCTCTTTTCTGGTATATTTCTAGGTGGGACATCCTTGAAAGCAAGGTTTTGGTAGGTACAGTACACTCATTGGCTTGTTGAAAGGTCCAGTATGCACCGTGCACACAAGAAGTTAGGAAGAATTTGGTGCACATGGAAGTAAGAGCACAACAATCAACTTAGATTCCGCGTACAGTCGAGCAATGCTGTATGTTTTGAAAATATAACCTACAAAATACTTTATTATGATTGAACAGTTGTCAAATTATTTTTCCAAAGAAAGAAATCTTCCTTAAGTGTTTGTCACACTCTTGCGGTCTTCAAATTTCCACCTAAAGAAGTATATGCTAACCTGGGTAGTTAAACAAGAGAAGCTCTGGGATCTTCTCTCCCCTCCTCCTCTAAGTAGCTCTTCACATAGCAAGAAAGATTCTAGAGACTTTGATAGTAAAGACTCAGAAGATAGATCAGAAAGATTGATTTTTATTCCAACCATGTCAATAAAACCAAGTCTTCTCACAGTTCTAACAGACTATCAAGAGCCCAAAAGACTCTGGGATTTCCTGAAAGCTTCCTTTGAAAACGCAGGTAATAGCAGAAAGTACAATCTGAAAAACAACCTTGGACTCATCGCATTTTTAGAGAATTTCGGACCTGAAAATTACTTCTCACAGTTCTGCAGCATCATGGCCGAACTATCAGCCATTGAAGTAAAACTCGACAACTCCGACCTAGTTCAGATTGTAGTAAAATCTCTTCCCGATTCATATGATTAATTTCTGAGTCATTATAGAAGCAGCGGTGGCTATCCTACACTCGACCAGCTACAATCTTGTATTATGTTGGAGGAGAACCGACAACAGACTAAGCGGGGCATCAAATCCATGTCTAGGGAAGCACTCTATTTCTGACAAAACCAAGCTCAAGGATCCTCCAACCGCCACTCCTAAATAGTCAGAAACGACGCACATCTCTCCAATCCAGATACCTCCGGTCTCTCTCCTTATTTTATTCAGAAAACATAGTGTAACTACTGTGGAAGAATAGGCCACATGAAATATTTGTGTCCCGAGAGGCTCATCGACATTTGGAAATTAGAGTCCGATCAAATGGAGAAGCTGGGGCTCAAGTTCTAGTCCACGGCTCTCGCACAATAAGAATTCGGGTGGCCACAACCGGAAGACGATTCTCTTGATACCGATCCAGCGTTTACCGAAGACGATGAGAACAATCTTCTGTCTGAAGCAACCTTGTCCTCCTTAAAAGTTAACGATATTAACTTCGGGTGGTACCTAGACAATGGTGCCACCCAGCATGTAATTGGTGATCGCCAACACTTTGGCGGTTAAGAGTCTTATAGCGGCCAGATTACAAGTGCGGGAGAACAAAATCATTCCATCATTGGAAAAGGAACTGTAAAATTTAGTCTCTCATCTGGAGAAATAAAATAGATTCACAATGTTCTCTATGCTCCTGGGTTGAAGAAAAATTTATTATCTGTTGGTTCATTCACAGATAGTGGCATTGTGGCATGTTTCGACGAGAACAAATGCATACTGTATAGCAAAGAGAAAAATCAGATAGTCGCGGAGGGTATTCAAAATCACACTTACTGGTTGTATCAGCTCATCTCACGAGAACTTCATGTCTTCGTGAATCTAGCTCAAACAGAATTGTACAAAATTAACTTGTGACACCACAAGCTTGACCACATAAGCTACTCCAAATTGCACAAATTATCAACACACAAGTTGGCCACATGACTGCCTCACATACCAACTCATCACCAAGTCTAAATTCACTATCAAGAAGACAAACAATCCCACGCCAATCTCCCGCTGGCTAGCAAAACTCGAGCACAAGAAAGAGTGGGATTAATCCATCTTGACATCTGTGGTCCATTTTCGATCACGTCACTAGGAGGATCAAACTACATGCTTGTCATAGTGGACGATTACAGCAGATTTATCCAGGTCTATTTCCTTTGCTACAAGTTCCAAGCACTTCAAAAATTCAGAGACTATAAAATTCTAATCAAAATTCAATTCAACACCAAGATCCAATCACTACATAATGACAGCGGCTGGGAGTTTCTTTCAGATCAATTCACCACACTATGCTGAGAAAACGGGACCAAGCACCAACTCACTAATGATTCTGCATCCAAACTGGGATTGTTGAAAGAACCAATGGCAAGTTTCTAGACATGGCCCTCACCATGACTATTCAAGCCGACACATCCACTTTTCTAAGGATAGAAGCTATAAATACTATTGCATTTTTACTAAATTTATTTCCTACCAAAGCACTTCAGTAAGTGATTCCATTCCAGATGATCAATGAAAGTCTTCATTTATCATTCATCATAATTTTCGGATTGGAAGTCTATCTCTAGGTCAACAAAGATCAATGCAACAAGCTTCAATTACAATTACATTCAAAAGTTGGTCTATTCACGAGTTATGACCAAGAAACCAAAGGATTCCAAGTTAGGGTACTTGAGGACCATAAGCTTGTCATTTCACAAAATGTTTTGCTTTCACAAGACAAGCATATTAAACAAAGCCAACACACTAAATAGAATCTTATATCTTACTTGCAATAATATTACAATCCTATTGTCATAGACATATTTACTTTATTAGCTATCTTGGTAATATGAATAGGTATAAGTGAGTAAAAATAGATTAATTTGATAGTATCTTATATGAAAGTTTTTTAGAAGCTTAATAGGTATGTTTTCATCTTTATATATATTTATAGGTAATTGATAGGTTAGAAATTTAGCCAATAAGTTAGCCACATGTTGCATGTGTTAATAGCTTATAGAACAAGTTAACTATGTCGTATTATCATGGATATTTATAGGAATTCTAGTAAATACCTATTTGATTAGGTAGAAGTAGATAAAAGTACATAAAAATAGATTAATTTCATAATAACTTCTAAAGAAGCTTCTTAAAAGCTTCATAGATATTGCTTTGATTTTACATGTGTTTGTAGTTGATTGGTAGATTAGAAACTTGGTCAGTAAGTTAATCATGTATTGATAGCTTACAAAACAAGCTAATTATGTAGCATACATATAAAAAACTTGTCTTGCAAGTTAAGATACGTGTCTTGCAAAGTCAACACATTTTGGAGGTCCTATAGGACATTGCCACATAGCTCTTAGTTAAGAGTATGTATGGAGGCAAAAGTGAAGCCTTCTTCATTCTTATCAATGCCTTTTTAGTTCTTAGACTTATTTTAAGACTTTCTAGTTTTCTTATTTTTGGCAATAGCCATTCTAATTGAATATTATATTAACTTTGAGTGACTTTCTAGTTCTTTTCAATGACACAAGAGTGTATTGATGATTTTATTTCTTTGAGATTGATGCCATTGATAAGGATATATATAAGAAACTTGTCTTATAAGTTAGACATGTGTCTTGCAAATTGGACTTATGTTGAAGGTCCTATAGAATGTCGCTATGTAGCTTTTACATAGATAGTATATACAAAAAAACAATGAAGCCTTCTTTACTCTTATTAATTCATTTCTTGCTTCCAATCTAGTTTCAAGAATTTCTAACTATTTAGTCTTTAGTAGTAGCTATTTCAATTTCTAATTAAATATATTTATTTTCTTATTTTTATTTTTTCATCTCTTTATAATTTATTTTTTACTTATTTATGTATCTTCTTTGAATTCTTGTCATTGACAAATTAATAAGAATCTTAATTCATTATTCATGTCTTATTTTTAAAAGTGAATGGATTACTCTACTTCTATTTTTGTATTTTTAAGGTTGTAGATTTTTCATCTTTGAATTAATATTCTTTATTTTGTAAACCTTGAATTTTTCCTTAAAAAAAATAAATCACCTTTCTTTGTAGAAATTTCTATTTGACATTAGATGTTGCAGATTACCTTCCTTTAATTTGATTTGTGAATTTATTAAGTTATTTGAAATTGAAGGAGAAATCATAGATATTGGACTTGGTAGAAGTGGAAATAGATTTACAACTATCACAAATTTGCACAAGCTTGTTAACACTCTTAGGATAAAAATTTCATGCATCACCAATGCTAGCCATGGAAGTATTATTCTTATGCTTATGAAAAAAGTCTAAAGTCTATGTAAAGAAGTTGTACAATTGAGGGAAGCAAGTAGATTGACCTCACAACCAAATCTATGAAGTCTTACTTCTATAAGCATAAAAGAGACTAAAATTAGTATATCCAAGAAGTTTAATAGAATAAGATAAAATTTTTGAGGATTTTTCTAATAAATAAAGCTCTATTTAAAGTTGCATCTTTTTCAATACTCTGATGGATTTATTTATGTTGAATTTGTAAGCACACTTTTAAATTTCATTATACTTTTAAGGTCAAGTTAAAGAATAACTTACTCTATCTCAAAGGTTGCTTATATATTCTAAAAAAAAAAGTGTATTGTTATAGTAGAAAGAGTCTACCTCAAGAAAGTACTAGGCCTTTGATTGCCACTAATTGCTTAAAAAAATTACAAGATTATAAAATACAAATATTACTTATAGATTTTCTTCAAGAAAAAAATTACATCAAATATATAGGTCAAAGATGCACAAGAATATCTAAGATGTGACTAGATATCTTAATATCACTTCTATTCTTATGGAGATTCTTTCTATATATATATCATTCAATAACTTCTAATCTAACTATTGTTGTGATGTAACACAACTAATAGGTGAAAAGAATGAAAAATCTATTATTTTATAGAAGATCTTACTTTAAACATTGTAGCAAATTATCTTAGAAAATAAAGAATAGTCCAAAAGAAAGTAGAACTAAAAGTTTAAATGCTACCTTTTTAGAAAGTAAGCTTCTACTTAATTTGTAAGGCCATAAATAAGACAAAACAAAGTAGATTAGAAAAACAAAGAATATGAGCATATATAAGAAGTAGTTAGGAGTTGATTTAAATAAAAAATAACTCAAAAGGGCAAAATTTGATCTCCAAAGAAGACTGGTTATGAACATGGATCGAAATTAGATTTTAAGGTACAAAATCTAGTACCAATTGCAACTCAGAGGTTCTTTAGCAACTCAAAGAAAGTGATTTGAGAGATAGCTTAATAGGATTTCTTTGAGCATTAATTTTGAGAGAATTGAGTATATAATGACTTTGCAAGAATTATGCCAAGTCACAATTATTTTGGATGACTCTGAAATTTGTGAAATAAAAAGGATATTACGTTTTGGAAAATTTTGTGACTTTCGTAGTAAATCTATGGTTCAAATTTTGATGACTTATGAGAATAGTTGTTTAAAGTTGGTACTAGAAGTTCAACATATTGGTACTAGAAGTTCAACATTTAGATTGGAGTAGGAGGCCGGCCAATACCTAAGTAGATTTTAGGATTTTTCTTCCATTTAGTAATTTCAATTATCTTCAAATTTTGTATGCTTATTGCCATCTTAGTTATTGAATGGTGTATAAAATTTTAAGCAAGATTAACACTTCAATTGATAGATATTGAAGTTCTAAACT